AGTGAAGCAACATCCTCCACAACTAGACTGAAGAACAAAACGACAGCAACTTGTCTGTTCCCCTTCCCCCAAATCCCCAGCGCTGTTCCCATCCCCCCAATTCCCCAATAAAAATCTAAAAAAAAAAAAAAAAAAGACCCACAATTCAGTAACTGCCTGCAAGAATAAACCCCAAGACTCTTTAAAGGCAGACAACATAATCCTGATGCTCAACAATGTAGAATCCATAATGTCCAGCTTGTAAAAAAGTATTAGACAAGAAAAATAGCAGGAAAAAGAGATTTGTACTTAAGAAAAAACTTAAAAAAACAAAACAAAACAGACCCAGAAATGAAATTAGTATTGGAATTACCATACAAAAAATTCAAGTTATTGTAAATATGTTTTAAGATTTAAAGAAAAATATGGACATAATGGTGAAACAGATGGGGACTCTACAATGAAACTATTGAAAAAAGAATCAAATGGAAATTCTAGAGCTGAAAAATATAATACCTAAAATGAAAAATTCATTAAATAGGCTTAAGAGCATATAAACATAAGAAAGAAAAGAGAAGTGACCTTGAAGACAGGATAATAGAAATCATCCAAAATGAATTGCAGAGAGGAAAGACTGGAGGAAAAGAAGTCGCATGACCTATGAGACTACAAAGTCCCAGAGGAAAGGAGGGAGAGATTGTGCAGAAAAAATTTTTTTAAAGAAATAACAGCTTAAAGATTAAATTTGATGAAAACAATCATCTCATAGATCTAAGAAGCTTAAAGAGCTCCAAGCAGGATGAACACAAAGAAAACCACATGATGGTCAAATTGCTGAAACCAAAGATGAATAAAATATCTTAAAGAGAAAAAAGGCTGACATTATATACAGTTTACAAGAATAAGAATGAGCACCAACTTTTAATAGGAAACAATGCAAACCAGAAAACACCTGGAATGATATAAACTACTGAGTGTAAAAAGCAGACAACCGATTATTCTATATCCAAAGAAAACACCCTTAAGGGCCGGCTGAGTGGTGCATTGGTTAAGAGCTGGCTTGGGACACCAGAGGGCCCCGGTTCGGATCCCACATATGAGGGCCAGTGACACTGCCCTCTACAGCTAAGATGCTGAACAACAGCTCAACCTGGAGCTGGGCTGCCTGAGTCACCGGTGACGGCGTAGGCTGCAGCCCCTGCTGCAGTGGGTTGCCATGGGCTACCGTGTGGAGCCAGCAGCCAGCGTGAGCGGCCAGCAGTCGCCGTGAATGGCCATCCAGAAGCCGGCGACTGATCTGCCTCGCCCGGGAAGAGCGCAATGATGGTGCCAACTTGGGCCAGTGAAGCAACGTCCTCCACAACTAGACTGAAGAACAAAAGGACAGCAACTTGTCTGGTCCCCTTCCCCCAATTCCCCAGCGCTGTTCCCATTCCCCAATTCCCCAATAAAAATCTTTAAAGAAGAAAGAAAACACCCTTAAAAAATAAAGGCACAATAAAGACATTTTGAGGTAAACAAAAGCTGAGGAATCTGTCACTGGCAGACCTGAATTACAAACATTAAAAGTCCTTCAGGCTGAAGGGAAATGATACTAGATGTGAGCTACAATCGAAAAGCAAAGAATACTGGAAATGGCAAACATAGAAGGTGATTTCCTCATTTCCTAATTTCTTTAAAACAGCTGGCTACTTAGAAAAACATAATACATATTGTTTATATCACAAGTAAAAGTTAAACTATGACGACAATAACAGAAAGGACAGAAAGGGGTGAATGGGAGTATACTGTTGTGTGGTTCCTGTGTGTAAGGCAGTACAACAAAATTCAAGACAGACTGCGATTGTACAGGTGCCCCCCACCCCGCTTATTCAGGGGGGACAGTTCCAAGACCCTCAGTGGATGCCTGAGACCATGCAGAGTACCAAACCTTACATATGTTGTTTTGTCCTATCATACATAACTGTGAAAGTTAGTTTATAAATTAAGCACAGTAAGAGATTAACAACAATAATAAAATAGAACAATTATAATAATACACTGTAATAAAAGTTATGTGAATGGCTTTGGGACCATGTCTAGTGAAGTAAGGGCCCCTTCAACACAAGCACCGCAATTCCCAGATGGGTGATCTGATCACCAAGACGGCTCGGTGACTACTGCGTGGGGAGTGTCTACAGCTGGCAGGATTCCCATCCTGGGTGGGACAGAGCAGAATGGTGCGGATTTCACATGCCACTCAGGATAGCACGCAATTTAAAAGTCAGGAATCATTTATTTCTGAAATTTTTCATGTAAGATTTTCAGACTGCGGTTGACCGTAAGTAACTCAAAGCACAGATGCAAAGGTTGACTGTAGTCCCTGACAACCAGTACAAATACCACAGAGGTATAGTTCAAAGGCCTCGGAAAGTAGATAACATGGAATTCCTTAAAGACACTCAGTTATTAGGGGAAAAAACCCCAGAAAAGAGCGAGCAAAAAATAGAAAACAGCAAGAAGCTAGACTTCTACCCAAACACATCAATAATTAAGTATAAATGGACTAAAAATTCCAATAAAAGAAAGTGTCAAAATAGATGAAATGCAGACCCAACCACATGCTGAGTACAAGAAACTCCTCTTAAATGTAGACGCAGACCAGCTGAAGTCAAAGCATAGACAGTGACAGGCCACGCGGGGGCAGGTCCTAAGGAAATGACTCCAAGACTACGCACGATCCCAGCGACAAAGGCACTCTCTCTGCGGCTCCCTGGGCTTAGGGGACACCTTCCACCACAGACCCACAGCCCGGCGCTCCCCAGCCCCCGGGGTGACCCGCACGTGCCGGCCAGGCCCCGCGCGGGCTGCGGAGCTACCACAACTGTTTACACCTCACCACCCACCCGCGGGCGGGAATCAGCATCTCCACTTTCCCCACAAGGAAACAAGCTCTAGGGTGCTCAGCAGCCCACAAAAGGGGCTCCGCCAGCGGTGGGGAGGCGGCTGCACGCACCTCCAGCAGGCGGGAGATGGCGTCGGGCTGGGCCCTCGGGCGGCTGTCGTAGCAGGGCCACACCACACGGCGCCTGCTCTGGGGGGCACCCCCGTCCAGCCGCTCCTCCTCCGGGGGCTCGGGAGGCCCCTGGGCCAGCTCCCAGTCGTACAGGGGTCCCTCGGCCAGCGTCTCCTCCGTGTAGAAGTCCCACACCTTCAGGTTGGACACGTTGCTGTAGGGCCGCAGGACCTGCGGGCGGGGCTGGCGTGAGGAGCTGGGCCGGCAGGAGCCCCCCTGCCCGGCCAGGCCCCGGCTCACCTCCGTGTCCTCGGGCGCATACATGTAGTTGTGGAACACCGGCGTCCGCTTGCTGAGCCGGTCCACGTACTCCCACACGGACCTGCAGGCCTGCTGGCCCCGGCGCTCGCCCTTCTCCTCGTACAGCAGCCCTGCAGGGGCAGCGCTGAGCAGGGCCCCGCCGCCACCGGGCCCCGCCCCGCCCACCACCTGGCCCCGCCCCCAGGNCCCGCCCCGCCCGCAGCCGCCACCGCCGCAGCTCACGTCGAAGAAGGCCTTCTCATCCACGGTCTTGGGGGCGCCCATGGTGTGGGTGCCGGGCGCCACGGCCTCCACCTCCGCCAGGTCGATGACGCCCTTGCACTCTGTGTCCACGCGGTGGTCATAGTAGCGCAGCTGAGGAATGAGGCGGGGGAAGTCAGGTCGGGGTCCACCAGCCCCACCCCCAGGCCCACTAACTACTCACCTGGTGCTTGGTCTTGTCCAGCACAAACCAGCGGGCCTTCCAGGGTTTCATGAAGGCCCCCTTCTTGTAGAGGGTGCCCTCGTGGGACCTGCGTTTGTCAGAACCAGGCTGGCCGTCAGGGCTCAGCAAGCCCAGACGCCAGCAACTGCCCCACCTACACCAGCCTTGTCCTGACAGCAGGACCAAACGGACCCAAGTCTGGAGCACTGGACCCAGGCCACGAAGAAGCCCTGGGGTACCCAGAAAGGGTTCCCCTCACATGACAGACACCGGACACGGTTCCACACCACAGCCAGGCATCAGGGAAGCAGCCCCCATGCAGGGCAGGGGCCCCGGACGAGGAGGCACATGCAGCCTGCCTCACCTGGAACCTGCTTCAACCTCACCTGGTGCCTTGCCTGACCTCACAGGTACCCCAGAGCCCGTCCCTCTGTCACTCTGCAGCCACCTGCTTCTTCCAGCAACCGTCAGCTTCTGCTCAGGCCACCATCGTGTCCTCCCCACACATCCTTCCACCCAAGAAGTGACTAGATGGCCCCAAAGGCATCGGAGCCCCAGCTCAGAAGTGCCCACACCTGTTCTCGCTCTCGGCAGTCTGGAACTGGCTGTACAGCGTGCTGGTGCTGCGGCGGGCAGCCTGGCGCGAGCCCGATGCGGTTGACCCACTGCTCTGGTCACTGTCCAGGCTGAGGCTCAGGGTGGAGCCCACAGGCCCCTCCTGCAGGTACACACCCAGCGAGCGGCGGTGGTGGGGCACGCTGGACACAAGCAGGGAGCTGGGGGTGCCCTGGGGGCGGAGATGAGGCCGTGTGGGTGCCGGGCGGCCTCCTCGGGCAGCAAGCCCACCCAGCCCACCCCGCGCCCGCTCACACGTCCGTCTGGCCGGCCTTCGAGGCGCTGCGCGGCCTTCACCCGATCCCAGGTGTCCTTCCAGCGCTCAGGGGGTCGGCCCAGCTCTGTCTCCAGCCGCTGCAGCTCCTAGGGGAGAATTAGTGAATGTTTAAGATCATTCAGAAAAAAATACCCAGCCTGGAACATGCAAAGACGAAAGGAAGGAAAATAGAGGAAAGTGAGGCATTTACAAAGGTCTAACATGCACATAACTGGAGGATAGAAGAAGGTAAGGTGGGAGAACACACAAAATCAGTAATTGGAGACACTAACAGGCATCAGCCAACACAAAAGGAGCACTACAACCCCAACAGATGTCACAGAAAAACTGCTGACATACAAAGGGAAACCCCGAAACCAACCAGAAAGAAGACAATGTCTCTGCCAAAGAGTAACAACGTAACTGCCCACCAGCTCTGCCCAAGGGACGGCAGACTTCCACTTCCAGCCATAACGGCATGAACAAGCCCGACTAGCCCACCCACCGCAGCAAGGGCAGACTGGACAGCAACAGGAAGCAGTTGTTTTCAGATGCTGGACAGCAGGGCAACACTGAAGCCAAGACGGGGCAACACCAGGGGGCACAGCCCAGTGTGGGGGAGGCAAAACTCTAGCAGAACACGGGATCTGGCCAAGCTGGAGGCAGAAGTGGAAGCTCACGGGCGCTAAAGCATGTGGATTGCAGGGTGGTGTGTACGCAAGAGGCGGGAATGGCACACAAAGGCCTCCTTGAGTCTTTGGCCAAATTAAACTGCCACGTGCCAGGCAAGACGTCACAAGGCCTGAGCAGCTACTAACAAACTGTAAGCTAAATGCAAACTCTGGAGATTACTGTAGGAAGATAAAGGACTGACAAACAGCTAGTGTGGAGACACCTCGCTGAAGAACCAAACCTCCAACCAAAACCCGGGGTGGCCATGTCTTTGGAGTATGGGTCCTCTAAGCCTAGTGTGAAGGCGTCTTGGAGCTGCCCTAACAAAACTTAAAACATCCCTTAAAAAGACCCACAGGGCCGGCCGAGTGGCGCGATGGTTGAGAGCTCACTTGGGATGCCAGAGGGCCCCGGTTTGGATCCCACATATGAGGGCCAGTGACACTGCCCTCCACAGCTAAGATGCTGAACGACAGCTCAACCTGG